ATATATATATATATATATATATATGTATATATATATATATATATATATATATATATATATATATATATATATATATATATATATATATATATATATATATATGTATATATATATATATATATATATATATACAGTATATATATATAAAATATATATGAAGAAATGGCTGCAGTTGGTGTGTCCATGCGTGGGTTGGTGTGTGTAGGCGGGGGGAGCGCGGAGGGTGGCGGTGGGGGGTGAGCAGTAGAGGGTGAGTGTTAGGAGGGTGAGTTACCCTCGAGGTAGCTGGGGACGGACGCGCTGACGCACTACTCCTCACAAATGCCCTATATCAGCCTTCCACCTTAGGGAATCCTTTAAGTCAAGGACACACACTTTAGCACTACACACACGAGGGGCACTTAAGACACTTCACAGGAACTTGCGGTCACTGCACACTGCTCAAAACTCGTTGGTCATTCAAGCGAATTTTTGTGGGAGACAATGTGAGATTAGGAGAGCGACGGGTGATGGAGTGAGTTGACGAAGGAGGTCTACCGGTCTTGATTTTACACGAACGTACTTATTTCCACTTAATCGATCACTTGATACTCACTGCGCCATGGACATGTTTGGGGTACTTGGTTCTAACTACAGGAGCGAACATAAATACCTGTAGAGTTCTGTAGGTTCTATTCAACGGAAATATACAAGGGTGTGCTTACAAGCGCGGGTAGTCCTTACTCTCCTATATGTGTCAACTGACCTCTCTCTGACCTCTCAGGCGACATGTGGTAAGTGGTACATTCGCAGCCTCCAGATGTCGCCAGGCACATTTATCTAAGCTTGTGGTGACATGAAACAGGGGCATTGTCACACGCTACTGACTAGAGAAGTAATGTATATAAATGGGGTGCATACATAGTATACATACAGCATACATAATATACATACACCTTGGTGACTTCAATGCCAGAGTTGGCAGATATGCTGACATTTGGCAGGGAATCATAAGGAGAAATGGACTAAGCAAGTATAATCCCAATGGCCTATTCCTCCTCAGCAAGTGTGCTGCACACATCCTCACTATCACCAATTCCTTATTTAGGCAGGCTGACAAGTTCAAGGGTTCGTGGCAACATCCATGATCTAAACACTGGCATCTCATTAACTATGTCATTGTCAGAGAAAGAGATCGCCGAGATGTCCTCATCACCCGAGCCATGCGTGAGTAAGACCACTGCAGCACTGATCATTGGCTCGTCAGAGCCAAGCTCTCACATCACGTCGCCCCAAAACTGTGAAGGCAACAAGCCTCCAGAAGAGGTTTTAACACTAAGTGTCTGGAGGATCCAGCGGTAGCACATGCATTCAGAAAGCAGCTCGAAGAAGGGCTGATAATTAATCAACCCGAGAACAAACAACCCAAATCCGAGTGCCGAATAGGATATTTTCGACAATGTAATGACAAGAACCTGCAGAGAGACCCTCGGCCAGATCGAAAGAATACACCAGGACTGGTTTGATGAAAATGACCCTGAAATCAACGTACTCGTCGACTAAAAACTTGCTGCTTTAACTGTCTGGAAGAACAACCCTCAGTCTCGGACCAAAGAAGAAAGCAGCTGCTCAGCACAAACGTTGCAATCTAAAGAACGACTGGTTTAAAAATAAAGCATATGAAATGCAAAAACTTGCAGATCAACACAAGATGCGTGAAATTTTCTATTCCACTAAAACATTTTATGGGTCAATCACTCATGGCGTAGCCCCCCTCCGCTCATCCGACAGTAACTCCCTAATTAAAGATGAAGAAGGCCCCCTTCAGCACTACAATTCGCTGCAAAACCGAAACACCTATGTGGATGTCGTGACTACCCAGCAGGTCCCTCATCAACCAGAGCTGACCCACCTTAGATATCCTCCATCCCTGGATGAGGTAGCTACTGCCATCAAATAGATAAAAAATAACAAAGCCTGAGGGCCTGATGGAATCCAAGCCGAGGTGTATAAAGCAAGAGGACCTCTGCTTACCAGCTGTCTCCACTCTCTCCAGGAAAATATATGGGAAAAGCAAGAAATCTCTCAACCTCTTAAAGACACCTCCATCGTCAATATTTATAAGAGGAAGGGAGACCGGTCAGACTGTGGCAACTACCGCGGGATCTCGCTGCTGTTAGTATCTGGCAAGAATATTGCCCGAGTCCTCCTAAACAGACTTCTTCCTGAGGCGGAAAACTTCCTCCCAGAATATCAATGTGGCTTTTTTAGACCATCACGTGACACCACTGATATGATCTTTGCTGCCTGCCAGATACAGGAATAGGTGTAGAGAACAGCGTCGTGACCTGTACATGGTCTTCATGGACCTAACCAAGGCCTTCGACTTGGTCAACAGCCGTGTACAGCCGTTCTGGCTGCTCACCAAATTTCATCGCCATTGTAAGGCAACTCCACGATGGCATGATTGGCAGTGTCCTGCACAATGGCACCGAGTCTAAGTTCTTTCCCGTCTAAACGGTGGTAAATCAAGGATGTGTACTGGCACCAACTTTCTTATATTTTCTTGGCTGCCATCCTTACTCGTGCCAGTGCCAATTTAGCCGGCGGGATGGACATCCAGTAACGGATGAAGGGTTTTTTCAACATAAGACGACTCCAGGCAGGAACAAAGGTGTCGGCAGCTTCCATTACCGAACTTCTGTTTGTAGGCGACCTTACCCTTGTCGCTCTCACTGAACGCGACCTACAGGAGATCCTGAATACCTATTCAGATGTGTATGCATTTCGGCCTTGAGGTGAATGTACGTAAGATTTAGATTCTGTTTCAGCCTGCCCCTCGTTCAGCCACACCTCCACCATCCATCTAGCTCAACAGTCTACCCTCTCTAATGTTACCCACTTTCAGTATCTTGGCTCCCACCTGTCCATCACTGAGGAAATCGATGAAGATATTCCACAACGGATCAGATGTGCATCTCAAGCCTTTGGGAGACTCCTTACCCGTGTCTTCAGCTGTAGGAAGCTGAAATTACATGCAGTACAAATTTGCTTGTATATCGAGCAGTAGTCCTCCCCACCTGGCTATATGGCAGCTGTTCTAGCCGCTATCAATTAATATTATATAAATATGGGCTAAGGACATATATTCATTATATACATTCTATCACCCAGACTATTGAGCATACAGCTACACTGAGCTTTGTTCTGTCACCCCTCCTAAGGTGAACAGTTTGTTTGTTTCACACAAACTCGGGTTACAACCCATAAATCTTCTCAGCCCTCCGTGGGAGAGTAGGCCTGTGTAGATTTTATGTCTGTGTTGATGTATAGATTCTCCCCAACAACCAGAGGAAGAGAGGTCAGCTAGTTCACACAGTTTCACACAGTTCACCAGTACACAGCCAGACACCGTACCAAAGAGACGTGTTGTGAGCTTAGCTCCCCAGGCTGTATCTCTCTCTAATTATATCAGCTAATTACAAGCTATTAGCTAATACTCAGTAGTCTGTCAACAAGCTACCTTGTAACTATCAGACTATCCAATATAACTAGAAAATCACCACGTGTGTTTACATTAAACCAAGGAACAACAAGTGAAAATAACAGAACCTGTGTGCACTTGTGTAACTTACAAGCTAAGATAATTACAAGTGCAACCCACGGCGGCTGTGACGATTCAAGTATCAATCAATCTACGACTGTATCAAAGGTGACACGCCGTGAGATTACCTAATATCTCACCCAGCTTCCTCAAAGTTACCAGTCACTACCCTACACCCATTCAGGCAAGTGTTAACAAGTGAGATAGTTCGATATCAAACCACAGCCCAAACACAGCGAGACATGGGTCACATACAGGAGGCACCTGAAGGCTCTTGAAAACTTTCACCAACGTAGTCTACGTTCCATCCTCCGAGTTCGATGGGAAGACAAGAGAACAAATGCCAGTATTTTCGCTGATCACGTACTGTGGGAGCATCGAGGCTACCATTATCCTCGAAAACTATGCTGAACTGGCCATGTTATCCACAAGAACGACAGTAGACTGCCAAAGCAACTACTTTACAGTCATCTAGCGAATAGAAAACGTAACTCTGGCGGGCAACTGAAAAGGTATTGGGATACTCTTAAGACAAACCTGAATAAGTGCCAAATCGACCCCCTCATCTGGGAGACGATTACTCCACACTATAATACTTGGAGGGGCACCACACAAGAAGGTGTCAATACTTTCGGTTTAGCCCGACTGCATACCGAGGCAGCCAAGCTCCAACGCCGGAAAGCTGCTGCCGCCGGCCGTCCCTCTCTAGATGTAGCCCTCCACACGTGCTAAATCTGTGGACGACCCTGTCGGTCCTGTATCGGTCTCTCTAGTGACCTCAGAGCTCACCAACGAAGGTGACATTCTTAATAACTCATATCATTGTATCATAGCTGAATGACCGCCATTCTCGATTCCGAGTGACAGCAAAGTTATAGTTGTAGTGTGTGTTCCTGCGTAGGTGTTTATGTTTGCGCATATTTATGTGTGTTTGTGAGTATGTATGTGTGTGTTTACGTATGTTTTTTTCTTTTTACGGGGATTAGCCGACCCGGGTACAGGTTACCGATCCACATCGGGGCCTGGGGACGAACCAAAATGAACCAGAAATATATTAAAATTAAGAAAAAAAGCAGATCAAAAGTGAGAAACAATACATATGGTGTGTTGCTAAAGTAAGAGAAACAATTCAGACCTTGCAATTGTGTGTAAATGAGGCAGAAGGTGTCAGTCAGATTAACAACCTGGGACTTGGTCACAATTTTTGTGATGCCATATGGCAGCAGTGTCTACCATTAGATAACACATTATATGTCCAGCAACTTCCCAGGCGGCAGTACCTCCCTGTTTGATAACTGCCTACTACCTACTACCTAATATGTATATGTTACCTCACTAATATGTATACTTAAAATCCTTTGTTTAGGACCTCGATGGGACAAATTAATACCCTATCCCATGTTTCCCCCCCCAACAGGAGAGCTTTGTTATGGGGTCTGGCAGTCCAGTGAGAGTCAATCACCTGTATTCCTCAGACGGTGAGGAGCCGGCCGACCCCCTGCTGGAGAGACACATCTCCTTAGGTTCCTCCAGCCTCCTCCAGTTCAAGGACAATAACACACAGGTGGCTCCCTTTCTTCACTCTCACTTTCTTTCTCTCACATTCTTTCTTCCTTCTTACTCTCATTTTAGTCACTTTTTCATTGATGACTGATTCAAGGATAACACGGATGTTAGGGTTAGGTTAGGTTAGGTTAGGTTATAATGTATTACTGTATATTACTTTATGTTATGTTATGTTAAGTTATGCTGTACTGTATTAAAATAGGGTTTATGTTAGGTTATGTTGTATGTTAGGCTATGTTAGGTTATACTATACTGTAGTATTATGTTATGTTATGTTACGATACTATATTAGGTTAGGTTATCATATGTTATTTTAGGTTAGGTTAGGTTAGGTTACAATGTACAGTCTCGTTCAAGACTGGCAACTCAAGGCCGTTTCTTTACTATAGTACGTAGTATAATATAGTACGAAACAACAAAGCCCAACCATTAATTAAGCTACGGGGAACTAAGTAACCAATCACCGATCACTTTTACATTTATTCATAATTTTTACTCCTTAGTTCTGTATAGTAAACAAGCGGCTTTGAGTTGCCAGCTGTCTCCAGCAGTGTTCAAAGAATCTTGATCGAGACTGTACCTATATTTGGTAAGGTTAGGATATTATACTAGGTTAGGTTATGTTTTGTTATATCGTACTGTATTAGATTTTACTGTATTATGTTAAATTATAGGCAGTTATTGTAAGGCAATTTTGATGCACGGAATAGCTAACCCATTATCTATTTGGATGTGCAGACGCTTCTTTTGATTTGTACGCATGACACTTTAGCTAACACCTGGATGAGACGTTAGCCTTTCGCAGGGCCCAAGGGGTAAAAATAGCTTATTTTTTATATATTTTTTTTTTACGGGAATTAGCCCACCCGGGGCAGAGGTCAAAGGAACTACAACGGGGCCTAGGGGGCGAAAAAACAAGAACACAAAGAAATTGAATTTAGAGAAGGCCTGGGACTTAGGGATAGAAATCCCTTACCAGGCTAATCAGGATCTTAATAAAGGAAAGTCAAGGACCATGGTTTTCTGAGGAATAACAAACAACCGTTAGAGATTGGCATCTCTTTACTATAAAAAATATAACACAAAACTCTGACACCACTCAACAAACATCAAATAATTACGGGAGTCAAACAATTAAGTCAGTCAACAGTTAATGGAGTCAAACAATTAATGGAAGCAAACAATTAAAGGAATCAAACAAATAATGGGAGTCAGCAATTAATGGATTCAAACAATTAATGGATGCAAACAATTAAAGGAACCAAACAAATAAACAGATATTTCCTACGGCAGTGGCCCTGGGGGAAGGTTCTGGAACAAGGAGATCCACACTCTGGGTAGGGGAGCGTCCATTCAACTCCACACTCGAGCGACGTCTTGAAATGGCAGGAGAACACCAGGGCACAGACGGAATGAGATGAACTGACGGTCGTGGTATGCGGAAGTGGTAGATGACCAGAGAATTGACAGTCGATAGGTGAAGGTCTGGGAACACAGCCCACGAGTCCAGGACCTATGATGAGATCACAGCCAGAATTTGAAGGACAGAGGGGTAGCTAGATAGTGACTGTATGGCGGCTGGGTTGAATCTGCCGGTGACCCAGATAGTAGCTGCCGTTCTCACCTCTGTCCAACCACCCCAAGTGTCGTCTGCACCAGCAAACGAGCGAGTTAGCAGCGGTAACCAGCAGGACGATCGTTTCCGCCCTTACAAGAAGAAAAAGGTTATACTGTGTTAAACTACACCACGAAGATGCCGGAAAACCAGCTTTTTAAAGTGAGACAAATTGTATTAGTACGGAAACACATAAGAAGTCAGAGCCTTCCACAGTTTGGCTTTGTGAGGAAAGAAGGAGGAACTATAACGGGTGATTCTCGTGTGACCGACATCCACAGAGAAACGGTGGGCACCGCGGGCAAGACGTGTGTTACGAACCCACGGCCTTGCCGGCGGCACACAGGATGCCAAATCCACCGAACATTGCCCGTTAAAGTACCTGTAAAGGAGAAAGAGTGAAGCAACATTGCGGCGAAGAGAAAGGGAAGAGAGATTGACTACTAAAGGAGGAGAGTTAATTAGACGAAATGCCTTGGATTCCATCCTATCTAGCAGTTGGACAGAAGAAGAGCCACCCCAGATATGAGAGCAGTATACAAAGTTAGGACGAATGAATCCCTTATATACTTGGAGCAACTGCTCAGGAGTGAAGTAGCTACGGCATCTGTACAGCATTCCCAACTTTCGGGAGGCAGCTTTAGCTATATTAATGATGTGTGATTTCCAGGACATATTGGAGGAAATGGTGAGGCCTACCATATTTATTTCAGAATTTGGCAGGATGATAGCGTCCTGAAATGTAATTGGTGGGAGATCGTCTAATTTAGAAAGGGTAATTGGTAAATATTAAGTTTTATTACTATTAAATTTAACCAAGTTTGTACCTCCTCATTCAGAGATGCTGCACAGATCCGCATTGATAGAAGTAATGGTATCAGCTCTAGAAACAGATCTAGTTTGAGAGTTAGGAGGAAGGGGAATATGTGAAGAAGAGTGAAAAGTAGCATCATCAGCGTAAGAATGGATAGGATTAGTTGTAGTGTAAAGTAAATCATTGATAAAAAGAAGGAAGAAAGTTGGTGAAAGAACAGAACCCTGTGGGACACCACTATTGGTAGATAAAGAGTGAGAGATTGATCACACGACAACAACTGGTTTGGATCGGTTCTCAAGGAAGCAAGAGATTAGAAAACAAAGTGGGGGAGAGAAACCAAAAAAAGGAAGTTTAGATAGCAAAAACTTGTGTCATACCCTGCCAAATGCTTTGGAGATGTCGAGGGCCACGACAAAAGTTTCCCCATAATCCCTAAGAGAGGATAACCAAAGATGGGTGCAATAGGACAGCGGTTCACCAGTAGATCTCGCCTGCCGAAGGCCATACTGGTGATCCGAGAAAAGAGAAAAGCGTTCAAGGTGACTGAGAAAATGGGAGTTCAAGATTGTTTCGAAAATCTTAGAGAGGGATGAAGTTAGGGCAATGGGGCGATAGTTAGATGGATTAGAATGGTCACCATTCTTTGGGATGGGCTGAACCAAAGATGCTTCCAAGAAGAAGGAAAAGTTTGGGTTTTGAGGCAGAGGCGAAAGAGGCGAGCAAGCACGGGGGCCAGAGATTCAGCACGCTCCCTCAGAACACGAGGGGGTATTCCGTCCGGTCCATGCTCCTTACTCACATCCATCCTGGATAACACACCAGCAACCCTGCGAGTGGAGATTATAGGAAAGTGCGTAGGTTCAGTAGGAGGAGCAGGGGTTCTACTTAATCTCACAGCGAATTAAAACAGCAATTTGTGTTGCATGAAATCAGCGTTTTTAGAAAGAAGTCTGTTTAGCATCGGTTGCATACAACTGGATTAATCACCCGAAAGGGATTAAACGTTTGAAGATCATATTAGTATAAATTAATGATAAACAGGCAACCTCATAAACAGCCTGCACACAGCTGTGCCCGATGCATGATGTTCTTTAACATACTTACCGATTTTTACTTATGTTTAAATGTCTAAACATAAATTCATATAGGTTGGCCCATTGCTCTGTCCATTTTAAAATCAAATTAACATTATATACCTGCAGAAAGGTATAATATAATACGAAACAACAACGCCCAACCATTAATTAAGCAAAGGGGAACTAAGTAATCAATCACCGGTCACTTTTACAATCATTCATAATTTTTACTACGTAGTATAGTAAACAAACGGCTTTGAGTTGCCAGCTGTCTCCAGTAGTGTTCGAAGAATCTTGAACGAGACTGTACCTCTGGAAAGTCTGTGCTGCATTGCGTAAGCCAAAACTCATGAAAGTATACTCGAAGAGTCCGAACGGAGTGGTGATCGCTGTCTTCTGGGTATCTACAGGTGCTACTGGGATCAGGTGGAAGGCACGCTCCAAGTCGATCTTCGAGAAGATGGTCTTGCCATGAAGTTTGTGGTGAAAGTCCTGGACATACGGAATAGGGTACCTGTCAGGTTTGGTGACGAGGTTCAGGGCTCTGTAGATGCCACACACCCTCCAGTCGCCGGATGATGGCTTAGGAACCATGTGAAGAGGCGATGCCCAGGGACTCTTTGAAGGTCGAATGATGCCGTCTTGCAGTAGTCTGTTGAATTCCGCCTTGGCTGTGTTCAGGAGTTCAGGGCGTAGGCGGCGAGGGCGTGAGAAGACTGGAGGTCCTTTGGTTTCGATGTGGTGGAAAATTCCCGACGTAGGTGGTGGGGGTGGAGAGACTCGGGGTGAGAAAAGCTCCTTGAATTCTTCGAGCAGGGGGGAGAACTCGTTGGAAGGCGAGAGACAGGTGATAGTGTCAGTGTCTTTGGCACGAGAACCCTGGATCTTGCGTGCTGTAGGTTCATGGATGAGGCATAGATGGCTTGGGTCGACGCCGAGCTTGTGGAAGGTGAGGAAGTCGAAGCCAAGGATGGGTTGAGACACGTCTGCGACCAGGAATGACTAGCGCAGAGTCTTGGGAAGACCGAGGTCTAAGGCGAGGATGCGTGCGCCGTAGGAGGCGATGGGGGTACCGTTGGCAGCGAACAGGTCATAAGAGGGTTGCTTTGACATGTCTTGTAGTGAGGGAGGGAAGATGCTGACCGATGAACCTGTGTCGACGAGGAATTTCGTGCCGGAGGTGCGGTCGGTGACGTGCAGTAGTGAGATGCCTAAAGGGATGGGGGCTGAGGCGTCTACCAATCCCCGTTGTTGCCGTTTCCCGAGTAGGTGCAGTGGGGTTTACAGTGTTGAGCGTTGGAGCCGAAACGTCTTTGATACCAGCAGAGGGTAGATCTGTTGTGCTGGGGGCTGGTGGCGGTTTCCGGGACAGGAAGGGCGCGTCGGGGATTTTAGGGCGCGGTGCGTGTGTCAGGAACAGGCCCAGCAACAGGCATGGAGGAGCAGAACTGTTCAATGGTGTCCATCCTGCGGTTCAAAGTTTGCAACAG